ACCAGCCACGCCACACCTCTCGACGATGCCCCCCTCTCACAGGCAGATGCCCAACGAGAACTTACAGCCCTCGGCATGTTTGGCTGGAGGGAAACCAAGTACCCACAACCACTCCTGCCCTCGCCCAGGTGGTGCTGTTGAGTTGATTCGTTGGGAGCTCCATGTCTTGTGAGGTGGAGGTTAGCTACCTATTAGCGCGAATCTTCGTCAATTTAGCGGAGGCCGCATAGCCCCCTAGCTCGAAGCAGGCCTGCAATTGAATTCGACTTTTTGTGTCTGCAAAGGCGAGGATGCGGGGGAATGGCCTGGCTCAGATGGTGTGCTGGCACACTGCCACCAACGCCAACAAGGCGTCCGCTCGCCCCGTGTCCCGTCTTTACCACACTCGCTTAGCATCCGGGCGTCGGGTCAGGCGATTTGCGGAAGTTCAAAATCACCTCGCCATACCACGGCGCTGCCTTAAGATGCTCGAATTAGCGGTGTGCTCTGTGCTACTTGAAGCGCATGGAATCTTCATCTCTACTCACTTTCGGCACTGAGAAAGGGGTGTCAAATGCATAGAGAACAAGCCCCGACGCAAATAATCTCCGGTGAGGGCAGGTGGTGGTTGGTACCGACTGCAAAGGCCCGCCATCAGACAAGACGTAGGTCGCGGCGATGTTGAGGCTCTTCTCAGGGAGGTGCCCTACACTGGAATCCGGGGAGAATGAAAGTGCAATAAATGAGCAGAACATTTCCATGGCGGGTATGGGGAAACGCGACCCATGGAGTCTGGTGTTCGAGACTCTGTCAACTTTGAGTTCCCGGCCAATGTCCTGTGTCAGTCGCATCATTCAAGTGCACTACTTCTGGTTCAGTTTCGTGAGAATATCGGATCGATACACCCATTCCAGCCAAGCTCAATCGCCAGGGACTTTCATCGAACCCATGTCTGTCCCAGTGCCAGCACAGCCAATAGCACCCGCCCTGGTGCCTGGCCAAGCTCATGGCAATGCCACTTCGCACAGTGGGGAAGATGTTCTGCGAGTAAGCTTCTTTAGCTCCCAACAGCCCGAACTACCAAACACCCATTGTTCCCACCAGAACAGCGATATCGAATCCGTGCTCACTCAACCAACGATGCACAGGTCGAAACGAAGCTACGGGTTCTCACATTCCAGGAGCCGGTTCGAGATCCGTCGCCCCTAGGTTCCAGCGATAGTGGCGATGACAGCAGTAGCTCACACTCTCGACACCCTGTCGTCGAAGAAGATCACAGCCATGAAGAGACCTTTAGGGACTTGGTCGAGTCGTTTGCCGGCTTGTTCAGACACTGCCGTACCCCCCTCCGGCATCTAGTCAAGGACTGCAGCTTGGAAGTGACGCTGCATGAGCAGCTTGTACGCGAGTACCAATGGGTCGACGAGCGCGAGCCCTTCATCCCCACTGGACAGCTGCAGCGCTTGGTGTGTGAGCGCGAAGTCATCGAGGAACTGCTTCGAATCCACTCAAAGCCCGGGCACCACAGGACGTCGTTTCGACACTTACACCACATTCGACCTTACCGGACTATCCGCGGCGTGGCAAGAGTGATATGTCACGGAAGGAGCGGCAGCTCGCAGGGGCCCCTGTGCAAAATCTTTGCGGTGTTGCTGCTCATTGGCTACCCAGCTGCCATTGTGGACTTCATCAGCGAAGGCCTGTGCGACGCGGACCTGCCACTGAGCCGCGACACAGACACGGTGTCGGGAAGGAGCTGTCTATACCGTCGTACTACCGCCACAACATCAGGCACCAAAGTGAAATTCTCCGAGAACTGGGAGCTCCATGAGGTGGTTTTGTTTGCCGAACGCCAGTGGAGAGTACTCGCGCCCATCTTCTCTAGTGATGAAGAAGACTACGGCCACTTTCCGAACCCGGCCATCCTGCCTTTCACAGCTTTAAAATACATCAAGGCTGGTGGCCATGCCGAAATCTACTCCGGGAAAATTCACCCTCAGCACCATGATTTTCCTGCCCAGGTAACATATCCTTGGTTCAGATTCTGCTAGCATGACCTCATGCACTGATACTGTGCCCTGCCCTTGACAGATGTTCGCCGTCAAGAAAATCCAGGCCGATGGTGTGGATCACGAGCAGTTCCAGAACGAGGTTCGCATGCTTAAGAGGGTGAGCAACGATAATCACATCGTGGAACTCTTTGGGACCTATCAGCACCGTGAGGCGCACTACTTAATCCTGCCTCTCGCCAAGTACGACCTCGGCGAGTACTGGCAAAACTACGTGGGCGATTTGGGAACTGACACGGCAGTTCTCAAATGGATGGCCCAACAATGCGAAGGCCTCGCCGGCGGCCTAAGCCAAGTCCATCACCACTTTACAACCTCGATGAGTTCTTTGTTCCGGAGGAAGACAGCAAAACCCGCTCGGAGACGGACCGTCCCAGCAAAACCGCCAGATCACCACCTGAAGAAGCATCAATTCCACGGGGTGCATGGCGATATCAAACCGTCAAACATCCTCTGGTTTCCTGATCCCCAAGGCAGAGGTACGCTGAAAATCACCGATTTTGGGACTGGAGAGTTCAACGACACCGAGTCTACAGCGCGGCCATCCAACTCTGTCCCCTTCACGCCTCCGTATCGGCCTCCTGAACGGGCGCTCGACAGCGACGACGAGATTGATATTTCTTGGACCTACGATGTGTGGATGTTGGGATGTCTATATCTGGAGTTCGGCACTTGGTATGTCGGTGGTTATGCTATGCTCGACGCGTTCAGCCAGTCCAGGAAACGACCAGGACAGATAGACCGGGGTGGAGCGCCGTTCTTTGAACTTCGAGCTGACGGACAAGCCGTGGTGAAGCCCGCGGTCGAGCAGGTATGTGACACCGGGCTTGACTTACACTGGGGATCTGATAGAATCACTGACCTCCTGGGGCGGTAGCATTTTGACACACTCCGCGATGCCGTTCAGGCTCCAGCAGTGGGGTTCTTCAAAGACTTCTTGAATATGATCCAGACCCAGATGTTGGTCGTAAGGCCGCATCCAACCGCTGGGAACCCAGCGCAGCCGGGGCGGAGCAGCTGTAAAAACATTTGCAACAGTCTGAGCGAAATCATCGGAGAGCATGGATACCGTGACTATGAGGAATCGGATTAGGACCCATTTAGCCTTGATAGTCCTCGTGAAGAAGCCATACCCCCTCTTCATCCACGTACAGTCCTCACCCGCTGAATGCAGTGCCTCCCAGTAGCGATGAAGTTTTCGATCCCACCCAGAACGGCACCATATCTGTTTTACATTTTTACATGCCTACCTCCTCGAACCCGATGCACTCCAAGTAGGGGACACCAGATGTGATACGGTAATAAGCCCAACTCGGAGGTTGTCTCCGTGTGTTACGGAGCGAGCGTACTCGTTCATCGTGTGGTACCTGGCTGGCTAGCTAACGATGCGATTGGAGGTCTCTCGGCTTCCCGGGTTTTGGGTGTTGTCTCTCGCCTTCTCGGCTGTAGAGATATCAGGGAGAAGGGAGAGCTCCTTGTAAAGGGTCGCGTACCCCGCAACGGCGCAAGCCCGACCCATATGGTATCGTATCCAGGGGCAGCATCTGCCAAACTCGCGGTGAGTCTCCTCCGAGGTGACATCAGGGTCCCCCATACAGTAGAGAAACTCTGCGGAGCTATTTAGGGTTGAAATTTCATTGCTCATGATGGCGCGAGCGCTGAGCGTTCGGATGAAGCCCTTGGGGATGTCAGGGGTGTGCCGCAACTCGGTGCCAGATTGCACGGAGGACGCATCAACGTGTGATCCAGGCGTGGAATAAAACATTTTCGGGGATATGGTTGTCGCTGATTGCGTCCAGGCAAATTTTGTTGTGGTGCTCCTTGAAGCCGCTATCCAAACAGCCCCAGTCGTAGCTGTCTCTGACATCTTCCCGCCAGTTGGTTTCCCTTGCATTGGCATTGTTTCAAGACAGGACAACAGCAGCAGGCTCGGGTTGGGAGTGGACCAAGAGAGTGGAAGAGGTTTAGGTGGGAAAGGGTGTTATTGTAGGCGCTAGAGAAGCTGCATCCGTCGTTCTTTCCAGCTGGGGTCGGTTGTGTCCTCAAATCCGTCCTCGCCCATCCTACTGCAGTTTTCTAACCACCTATCACTGAAATTACGTCGGGCTAGCGTCAACGATAGCGCGGCCTATATGGCGAGAACATTCCATCCTTATATGAGCTTCCTACCTCCTCCAGCCGAAACGTCTCGTTGTGACTCCCTCGGTGAGTGCGAACCGGCCTTTGTCTCGGCGAGTTCAGCATCGAAGCCATGAAGACTCACCAAAAGCAGGATCTCCGCCAGGCCAAAAATCCTCTTCGCGGTCCCCGATATGTCAAATATACGGGGCCTCATCGTCTTCCCAGCCGCCGTTGTCGCGACCCGGTGCGAAAACCAGATCCCGGGTCTCGGCCCCGCCTCGTTCGGCATCGGCCACCCACATTGGGCGACGTCACGACATTGGAATGCAAGCTCGTCGAATATATTGACATAAAACGGGAGCTTGTCCTGTTCGCTGCTCCGGACGTCATTCACACTGCCTCATCTACCGTTCATATCGGTTGCTGGAGAGCTCAACGGCACTTTTGCGACAAGGGCCGGACTTGGGCGACGCTGCTTGCGCGCCTTATCCTAGCTGTGGACATCGGCATATCATTTCTCGCAATACTGGAGCAGCGTCTGTCCGTTCGGGACGAACCTTGGGTTGTCTGGGCCCCTTGGATCCCGTCAGAGCCTACATCGCCCTAAAAGTAGCGATGCTTGGCACGGGCAGTCACCACACTTGACTGTTGAAACTGGAAACTCAAAGGGTAATACATTGCATGCCGAGGGCTATCATCTCACCCAAAGTCTAACCCTTGGCTATAGAACCAGCATGATCTGAATGCCCCTTGCATCAAAGGACCCCGATGCCAAAAAAAGGGAACTGACTCGCGTCAAGCTCACCACGATGCGCCCGGAGCCAAAAAGATCGATCCACCCAGGGGTCGAACCTGGAACCTCCTGATAACTCTTGAAGTTGAAGACTCAAGTCGTAGTCAGACGCTCTGCCATTGAGCCAGCGGACCTCGCATCACGATGTGATGGTTGGTGGAATGGATTCGACAAACCCCTTTTCGATCTTGAGCTCCCTTCGAGAAATGTCTCCGATCGCTATTATTCAGCATCTAGCACCCCAGAGCGCTCAGCCTTGTTGACGGGAATGGCCGGGACGATCCTTGACATCGGAGTCTGTCGCGGAGTTGGACTCGGTGAATTTGGCCAATCAAGACTCTAGTCCCGGACTTAAATCCGGCATCAGCCAGCCGTCATTGGCTGAACAGTGCGATATCGCGCGTCTCCCTGGGAAGTGAGTCCTACTTCCCTACAGTGTCGAGGCCGGGGATTTTCGTCACGAAAACACGCCCTGGGTGTCAGCAAGCATGTCAGGGGTAGAATGAAATGGTATAAGAGTTGAACTTTCCCCGTCTTTCCCCCTCACCACTGCTCTTCAAACACACCATTCAACACACCACCCAACACACAAATCAACAACCGCAACATCGAGCCCATCTGAATCTCATTCCAATACTTTCTTGGCTTCGACAACCACCATGTCCAACACTACCAGCCTCACTCAGACATCCTCAGCCCCCAAGACCCGTGTCTTGGTCTTCGGGCCCACGGGCCAAGTTGGCCGCTATGTCGCCCTCACCGCCCACCGCGTCGGTGCCCACGTCACCCTCGCCATGCGCGACCCCTCCAAGCCCATCTCTAGCCTTGCAGGAAACGGTACTGAAGAACAGAACTTCCCGCGTGTAAAAGCCGATCTCACCGATCCTGCCTCACTCACCACCGCCGTAACTTCCACTCAGTCCACCCACGCCTTCCTCTACCTCCCCTTCAACACCCCGGACTTCATGCGTTCCGCGGCTGAGGCCCTCCGTTCCGCCGGTATCACCTTCGTCGTTTTCCTTTCCAGCTCAACCATCACTACCTCCATCGACTCTGTCACCCCTACGCATCCCATCTCTTATGGACACGCCCAGGTGGAGAAGAACCTCCGGGATGTCTTTGGTCCGGGAGGTTATGTAGCTATCCGAGGGGGATACTTTGCTTCCAACACGAAGCTTTGGAAGGCGCAGCTTGCTTCAGGGGAGATGAAAATCAAGTGTGCTGAGGCGAGGTTTGACTTCATCTCAGGAGAGGATGTGGGTTCCGTGGCGGGGGTGATTCTAGCGAAGGGGCCGAAGGCGGTGGAAGGGAAGGGGTACATCGAGGTGGTGGGGAATACGCTGATTTCTCAGAGGGAGGCGGCGGGGATACTGGGGCGTGTTCTAGGAAAGCAGTTGAAGTTTGCGGAGCCGGATGAGGAGGAGGTGGTTAGGGATATCATGCGAGATATGCATTGCCCGGAGCCGGTGGCGCGGTATATCTCGGGGGTGTTAGAAGCGAGGGAGAAGGAAGAGGATGGGATGTATGAGGGGGTGAGGTATGAGGAGGGGGGCAAGAATATCGAGAGGTTCTTGGGGAGAGTGCAGATTCCGTTTGAGGCTTGGGCCGAGGAAAATAAGGAGCTGTTCTTGTAACTCTCATTTGTAAAGATGGGGAAAAGCGTTGGGTCGGGCTGAGGAAATTGGTCTTGGTTCTAGAAGAAAGACATGTGAGATGGCGGGTTCAGGATGCGTAAACTTCACTCCTTTTTCTTGCTTTCAAAATTTCTTATCCAAGACAAAACAAAGAAACTGAATAGATATAGCCAACAATCAGAGTGCCATGCCATGCCGGACATTTGACTATCAGGGGGTTGTTCTTTGAGAAGGGGTAACATAGTAGGGTTTGGATCAAAACTGCTTTCATCGCAGTCAAAGGTGGTGACATCCATCGGCATCGAAAGTTTTCTCCAATATCTTGATCCACCTTCAAATTTGCTGTCAAGTTCTGATGAACAGCATCGCCCTGGAGTGGTGTGAGTAACCCTAACCCTATGCTGTCTCGTCAGTGAGGAACGGATCATTGGAGCTTCATGAAGGCAAAGTCCAACGGAGCAGTCTCTCAGAGATGAGCGGCCCCAAGTTCTATTCACGGACCAATAAACCCTCAATAATCGTGTATTGACAATCTCCAGAGGGGGGTGATGTTTTTTCCATGATGTCGATGCCCTGGGAGCTCGGGCCATAGGCACCATCACCCCCTACAAAGGGGTCAAATAAGGAGCACTAGCGTCTTTGACAGCGGTAACCCGACAGATTCCTTAAGGAGCACTCACCACTTCCAAGACTGGAATTTTCGCCTTTATCTGGGAGAAACTTGAGGCTTACCGCGGCCACCTTGTCTGTGAGATGTTTGATGGTTGTGCAAGTGCAATCGGGCGGTGGACCCCTGATTGGTTGAAGCTTCGGGGGGAAGCTGCATTGCATCCGCCAAGGAACGGGAGCATCTGCTGCTTGGAACCCCAGCCTCATCCATTGCTTCCTCCTCTGCCGAACAACCAATCCCCGTCTTCTTTGTCGTGCAGCCTCATAAGACCACATCAATTTTGTTGTCTCGCAGATTTTATTCTCGATACCTGGCACATATGCACTGTCCTCAAAGCCCGGGGTGGACGCAAACGGCAATTAGGATTTTTGGTGAGTGCCCTTCTCCGCTTCGTTTGTGCCATGGGAAGCTTTTGTTGACGCATGGCGCAGCGCATCGCTACAAAGCAGCAGAGATACCGCAATACCGTAACGTGTGCTTGGTTTCTCACGGATAGGAGGGTCTGGGCCGCGGAATGACGTCCTCGTTGCCCAAAGTGACCGCCTTCTGAGCGGCTTTTCACTTTGAACGACTCTTCGGGTCCTGCTGGGCCACCATCAGAGGCGACCAAACAGCTTGCAGGCGCCAAACTCTACTACTGAGGTTGTGGGTAGAGCAGAACACAGGGTACTGGACATTCTTCCTAACGACCACCCCGGCCGGCCGGCAAGAAAACGGGACCTTTGTCTGGACCCCCTCTAGGCCTACCCCGTGGACCTCCATCTCAACACACATACACCCTCCGTTTCTTCCTTCTCGCAGCCGAGAAAAAGGTGGCCTCCTCCCACCATCAGCCAGTGCGAACTCACCCAGCTTCTTGACTTCCTTTCACGCAGCAGCAACTTCGCATCACAGCCCACTTGAACGAATCGCCAAACATGGGTCGGGGTCGGCCGAAGAAGAAATCGGACGCCTCTAGCGCAGCGTCTACGCCTCAGGCGGTTACACCTGCCTCTAGTGACGCAGGTACAGATTCAAGCTTACGCCGCGGCACACGCCTTCGAAAAAAACCGAACTTCCTCGGCAATGAGGAGTCGTCTCCTCCGAGGCAGCCCGCGGAAAAGCGCCCCTCCATAGCGGACTCCGCCGTTGGTGTGTCACCCGAAGACAATGCGGACGACAAGGATGTTGAGAACGCCCCAACCAAGCAGACGCCCTCCGCGTCACCTATCAAGGAAACACCCACGAAGACAGTCCCCGCTAAGAAAACTCCTCTGAACAAAACGCCCCTCGCAAAGACACCCAAGGAGAAGCCATCGACTGCGAAGAAGTCGGCGAAGAGATCAAAACAGGCTGTTGTGAAAGAGCCAGCTTCTGAAGCGCCGCTCGAAGATCTGGCAGGTGAGCAGCCAGTTGGCAACCAGCAGGCCGGCGAGCAGGTCGAAGAGCAGGCCGAAGAGGAAGCCGAAGATCAGGCTTCTTTGGATACCGATGGGGAGCTTGAACAACAGTTGGCCAATAAGATCAAACTGTCTGTCGAAAGAGCGCTCAGTGGGGTTTTGGAGAACGGTAGAGCGGGTGGCGAGGGCCAAGCCCATTCGGGCACCGAAAGAAACGGCGAAGACCAAGCTGAAGCGAATGTCGAAAATCCTGAGGGGAATGCCAACGAACAAGCTGAGGAGAATGCCGATAAACAGAACGAGGTCAGGGTCAAAGAGGAAGCCCAAAAAGCGACAGATGGGGATGAGGATGTGTCGCCTACGGTACGCAGAAGTCTCAGGAAGCGCAAGGCTGCTTCGGAGAGCCTCGAGGGCCCCGCTGAGCCCCCGATGCCTAATAATCTCCTTGATGCTGCGCTCGCGCCATGGGCTGAGAACGAAGCGGAGGATTGGCCACACTGGATGGATCTCGAGTCTGATCCGGTGAGCGCTTCACTCAAACCCCCACCAGCCGCCATACTGACAACCGAGCAGGCCTTCTTCACTCACATACTCAGAAAGATCGGCGTTTCGGGTGTCAAGCTGGCAGACACCTTCGCAGATATGGAAACGCTCAAGCTCATTCCGTACGGCCTGATTCTTCTCTCCTCGCTGGTCGTCGTGCTAACTCGTGACAGGAACCTGTACGGCCTCATTCTCCTAATGCCTGCTAGCAGCTATGTCGAACAGGAAGAAGTAGAAGTTGTTGAAGATGGGAAGTCTATCTGGTTTGCAAACCAGGTAAGGGTCATGTGTCCAGCCAAACATGGTATCTAGTGGCTGACCAATCCAGACGACGAACAACGCATGTGGCACCATTGCCATGCTAAACTTGATCATGAACGTAGAAGGCCTGGATCTAGACGACAGACTCGAAGACTTTAGGGAACGGAGTAAAGATCTGTCCCCGCCGCAGCGAGGCGCCCTCATCACTAGGAGCACTTGGATACGAGCTGCACACAACGCATTCTCTCGGTGGGTCGTGACTTCTCGCACTCAGTTATTTGTGCTCGCTGACATTCCCATAGCCGAATCAACCACCTTGGCGCTGCATTGAGCCTCGCTGGTGAGGCGAGGCACGCAAAGATGAAGAAAAAATCCCCTGCGAAATCCAAGCCCAAGGCAAAACCTAAGGCGAAGTCGAAGGCTAAAAGCAAGCCAATGGCCAGAGAAACGGCCAAGTCTAAGAACAGGCCAATGACCAGAGGAAGAACCGGGGCTGCCGCCCAAAAAGCGGCGGCCGAAGAGGGTGAAGAAGTCGTCATGGACGCTGTGCAGGTTGGCGGCGCGGTGGAGGATGTCGCGGAGGAAGCCGTGGAGGAAGGCGCAGAGGAAGACGAGGAGAAAGACGAGGAAGAAGATGCGGAGAAGGA